ACGTTCATATGGTGGATTTAAAGGGATACCTCAGAAGATTTCCTCTCAGCTGAATCGCCTTAATGTAATTTCTCCCTGATCAGTAGGGCGGTGGATAGTTTATCCAGGCAAAGCTTTCAATGTATGGAGAGTCCTGACGAAGTCCGTGCCGTCTTCAAGTTTCTGGCTCAACTCCTGTATGGTCGATGTGAATTTCCTGACGCTGAATATTTCCATTTAAGAATTTTCTCTTAAAGACGTGACGTGTATGGTAGAGATTAATTTTGTCAGTCTCCTTCTCATGATAGTCGTGACGTGCATGGCCATGTCCATGACACCCAGACCACCCTCCTTAGTGGGCGCATGTATGTAGACATCTGTACACGTTCGACAGAGGGACAGAATTTCCGAACGGCCATAGACACGGACCTGTCAACGCTCTTCAACGTTTTCATAGTGATGGTAGCGCTGTGGAGTTTGTCGACTTATTCCCGTTTATGACGCTTAAAGTCGTCGTTCCGATAAAAGGGATGATACAACCCTACAGACCAGTTGTTTTTTAATCTAGTACAAATAAGAATAGTGTCTAGATTCAGTGCAAATAAAAATTTCTTCTCCCATGAAATTGATGACACTTATCTAACTTTATACTAGTAGTCACATATTTGTTAAACTTTTCACTCACATCCAAATTTTCTTTTTTATTCAGTACCATAAGTTCACCACAATATCGTAATAATTTTAATAAATAACTACAATTGTAGTATAATAATTGGCGAACTTGCCCAATTCCTTCCTAGCTTTATGATCAATATCTTTATTAATATATAATTTTTAGTTTGCAGTGAATTTTGCATTAAACACAACTACAGAATCTCTGGTTGCCAAAAATGCAGCATTTACCAACTAGTAAGTCCACCGAAAAAGACAGTTTTAAATCAAGCAGATCCAAATCAAGTAGATTGGAATGAGTGGTGCGATGTGAAGTGTAAAGAAAATGACGGTGGTGCCGCTTGCGATTGTGATCGGTCGCCTATGTCTAATTAGTACTTTAATAGTACAATATCAATATATAAACAATTGTAATTTAATTATAACGTAATTAAGATAAATTTTAAAGTTTATCGTGTTCTCTCTTGATTATTAAATCAGTTTTATCTATTTGTTATCGCATTACTAGTTCTAGTAAGAGATAACGCATGAGTTTTTTTTATCTCTATCCAATTCTGTTATATGTTTTAAGTATAATGTAACTATTAAATAAGTCGCAGATCTTGATACATAGTAAACATCAACTTGTTTAAATAAATTCAAAAGTTCAAAACAAAACGTTTATGTAAACATATCAAAAAAGATCTCAACATTTTAAAAAAGGAGCTATTTATTGTACAATGAAAAGAAAATATCATTGTACAATATAATGAAAAAAATACCATATAATTATTTATAAACAAATTCATTTCGTGTTTATAACAAATACTTTTTTGTGCTCAAAACACCTTTTTGAATAAAGAGATACTTATGAACTTTAGGAACATTGTCTCTGATAGTACATTATCCCATGGAAAAATATATGCATATAGAAAGCAGATGAAAACAACTAAAAGAAAAAACACAAGAAGCATCGGACTTGGCACGTTTTTGTAAAGTGATTTTAAACTATCATGGTTAAAGGTGTTCAAGTTAAACTTAATTTACAGAGATTGTTAATTTTTCTCTTGGATTTTCCTTGATTTGCCTAAGGAGATAGATGAAATGAAAGCTGACGCGCAAAATTTGTTAGACGTGAGAACCTGGAAAAGATCGGAGCGGGACAGGCAAGGTTGGAGGCATAGTTTGGAGGAGACCAAGGCTCGATTTGAGCTGTAGCACCATTAGAGAGAAAGACTGAGAGAGGGAGAAAGAAACGAATGAAAATTCCAAGTCGAGATGCTTCCACATGTGCTTCCTCTATATACTCGATCGTTTTGATCTATTTTGGCGTGTTATCATAATAATCAATGATGGATTTTAAGTTTCTTGTTTATTGTACCCAGTTTTTAAATAATTCTCAATGCTGAAGAAAATTATTTAGGAGTGGTAGGTTGTTTTAGTCACATATGTTAATTACCCTGTCCGTTTTGATATTCTTTGAGTCTTCATAGTATCATTCCAGTTCCCAGGCTGTACATTGTTTCTTTCAGCAGTATTTGTTTTAACAATTGGTAAGGTTACTAACCTTGCCAATCACCCTCCACATTTTATTCCGCAATCGCCCCAGGTAGTGTTACTGGCAGAGCATCTACTATAGATGGAACACGACTTCTACGAAACACAAAAAAAAATAAGGAGAAAGATTAGAGCACATAGAAAAGAAATAAACGAACTAACAAAAACAAAACACATCAAAAGAAAACATGGGTAGACTACTTTCTATCACTATTTGACGATAATGAACCACCAACACCAGAGGTGATGACAAACAAAGAAACAAATATTGAGGAGGAAGAGGTAAAACTAATCCAAAAAATAATAAAGGAAAACAGAATTCCTCAAAAATGGAGATCAAGCATCCTTATACTTCTCTTCAAAAAGGGATACAAATCGGACTATTCAAAATATTCTAAATGTTCATTTGGTAGAATATCTAGAAAAACACAAAATACTTCACTGTAATCAATATGGCTTTAGAAAAAAGTGTAGCACTACACTAGCTATACAGAAAATTGTGAGAGATATAGTTGATGGCTTGGAGGAAGGTCTTTTGTGTCTTTGACATTGTGCGACTTATCCAAAGCTTTTTACTATGTTTCGCATGAATTACTGTTGGAAAAAATGCATAAATACGGTATTAGGGGAAACACTCTTAATCTATTTAGATCATACCTAACAAATAGAAAACAGGCAGTTTTTCTTAATAACAGCTATTCTGAGTTTAACACTGTCGAATATGGTGTACCTCAAGGTTCGATATTAGGACCCACTTTGTTTCTTATTTATCTGAACGATTTATTTCGCTACAGTTTTTCTATAAAATGTGTTTGCTTCGCAGATGATACAACTCTCATAAATACTGATATTAATCAGAATAATTTAAAAATTAAAATAGATAGTGATACCCAGAAAGCAAAAACTGGTTCTTACATAATGGGCTAAAGCTAAATGAAAAGAAAAATCAGAATTTGATTTTTAGTTCTGATTGGAAGTATATCTTAAGAAATAGTGTTAAACTATTAGGAATCTTTCTAGGCGATAATTTGGATTGGAGTGCTCATATAGATTACTTAAGTTCTAGACTTGCTACAAGTATATTTTTAATACGCAACTTAGTTTATATGATTCCTAAAAAATACCCTTAGAATGTGCTACTTTGCACTATTTCATAGCCATTTACAGTACGAAATAACTGTTTGGGGTAATTCTTCTTACGCAGATCAAATTTTTAAATTACAAAAAAGAGTAGTGAGGATACTTTCAAGAGCAGAGTATAAGGAACACTGTAAACCTTTATTTCTGGATTTAGGTATTATGCCACTACCTTCACTCTATATATATGAGACGCTGATTGAAATTCATGCCAACAAAGGTAAGTTTAACATAAACCAACGTCCATGATCACGATATAAGATCTAGAGATGCTATTAGAGCACAACGTTTTAGGTTGACAAAGAGCATAAAAAATTCGACTGATGTTAGTTTGTATAACTTTTTGCCAGATGAAGTAAAAAGTCTACACTTGTTATCGTTTAAGCTTAAAATCAAATCACACTTTTTTAAACATTGTTTCTATTCAAAAACGGAGTACCTAAGTACAGCTTTTACACAACAGTACTAGTTTGGTCAGGGCAGTTGCCTATTATAATTATATTTTATGTTTTTTATAATGCCACAAAGTCTGTTTGTCGTTTTTTAACTGTTAATATTAAATATATCTTCTTCTTCTTCAAGTGCCCTGTCCGTTGCGAACGTTGGCTATTAACATTGCAATTTTGATCTTGTTTGCGGCGCTTCTGAATAGTTCGACCGATGTAAGCCCGAACCACTTCCGCAGATTTTGGAGCCACGAGTCTCCTGCCTGGCCCTCGCTTACTGTGTATTTTTCCCTGGACAATCAATTGTAGCAGACGGTACTTATCGTGTCTCAATATGTGGCCTAAATATTCAAGCTTTCTTTGTTTAATTGTATTTACGATCTCTTTCTCCTTTCCGATTCTTTGGAGTACCTCTATGTTGGTGACATGTTCGGTCCAGGCCTCCACGCCATACAGCAAGATTGGAAAAATGTAGCATTTAACTAGACGTAGTTTTAGGGGAAGAGACAAATCCTTGCTTATGAGGAGCTTTTTCATATTGCTGAATGCTGCTCTAGCTCGTTCTATTCTCGCCTTAATTTCTATGGTCTGTTCCCATTTTGCATTTACGTTGGTGCCAAGGTACACATAAGATTCTAAATGATCAATTAGTATGTTACTTATCCGTAATTGTCGAGCAGATTGTTGCTTTTTGCTTATCAGCATCCACTTTGTTTTCTTGAAGTTGAGGCTCAGGCCGTATTTCTCACTAACTAAATAAACTCTTTCCATTACTTGTTGTAATTCGTCTATGGTACTGGCAAGAATCACTGTGTCGTTATATAAATATATACATGTTTGTAATGTTTAAATTATCCAAAAAATTTATATGTTTTATACGTATTGTCACTATTCCTTTGACTTGTCAAAAACAAAACTATTTTTGTATATTGAATAAATAAATTCTATTCTATTCTATTATTTTTCTTGTCAGTGTATTTAGGTCTCCTACTAGAATTATTTCTGCTGTGTTTCCTAATTTTAATATTTTGTATGGTAGTTTTTAAAAAAACTTCTATATCTCTTGCCAGAGCATCGTCATTTATGGCGTAAACTCATACAATGGTGACTTTACTTTCTAGTAAGTTTAACGAAGCGCTGGTTCACTGCTTCGCAGGATCTTATGCATAATATTTTCATCATTAAGTTTTAACCAGTAAAAAAAGATAAACAATTGGTCAAAAATAAATATATTTATGAAAAATTGGACAGCAATTTCCGATACGTTACATTTTCGGAATATGGTCGATATTCAGACGTTCTGTTCGAATACCAGGAAGCTTTAATTTTATTTAAACGATCACCCTGAGTAATCTTTTGCGTTTTCCGTTTATCTGGAACAGGAGTAAATAATTGTTCAAATCTAACTCGTTCATTTCTTGATGTAAAGCTTGATTTGGCGAAAGATGGTACCAAGCTATAGCTTGGAGAGTTATATCCAGTCTTTCTAATTAAACTATTTCCCAATGTAGATGGTCTCTTATTCGGTACACGAACATCACCTAATAATTTTGTGAAATTTTTTAATGAGTGTGCGTTATCTTCTGTCATTTTTCGTCTATTTTGTTTCTGTGTGCGCGAAATTTTAGCAAAGGAATCGACGCTTAAAGAAATGTTCTTTTCAGATACTTTAGATAGTTGTGTTCGCGCCAATGTTGGCCGTAATTTTCTTCTTGTTTCTGTTATAACTTTCTCTCTATCTTTTAACCATTGCTTACTGTAGATTCCGTATACATGTTTTGGAATTGCATCTACTGCACCAAATTGCTTCAACCTTAAAAAATAAATAATTAGAAATACATTAGAATAACTAATTCATTTTTAAAAAGAACTTACAATGAAGTTGAAACTTCATTTTGTAAAATGGCGCCTATAAATTTTTACTAAAATTTTTAAAAATATCCAAAATGGATTTGTAAATTTTCAAATCAGAGCATCATCAGTAAAAGAAGTCTATAAAGTTTACAAGGAAACTAAGTTCCTGTAGTTGGCTGTATACCATGTATCACACAAAATTTAATAAAATCCTTAATAAAAGGTATATAATTAAAAAACCCAATCGGGCTATATTACAAAAACAAAACGTTTTCGGAATCCATGTTCCATTATCAGTGTCTAGGTGTACATGTATTGAGCCACTAAATATCTGGGTACTCCTGAGTAATGTACAAACTCTGGGTAATGTACTAACTCCTAACAACAATTTTAACCAATAGATTGACGACAAAATTCGACGTATACCAGTCGAAAGAACAAGCTAGGTTTGAAAGGGATTCAGCACAAGGCACCATTTACTAAATATGAAAATACTTATAGAACAAGCATATGAATAAAACATTCCTCTATATTCGCTCCGTGCGTGACTGACACGACACCTACCGCCTTTTCTGACAATTTTGGAGTCCCAATTTTCAGGTTAAACATATGACATATGTTTGACATTGTTAAATATATGCGAAATTGACAATTATTAATAAATTAGTTTTTTAACTATATTTTTTCAGTTTATGTACAAAATAAATGTAGTATTAAAAACTGGGTTTCTCAAAATTCATCATAATATATCTTTTCAACTCCAAACGTAAGAGAACGGGAAAAATCTAGTACTGACAAATCAAGTTTTTCACGCAAAAGAGCATATAATTAAAAACAATAATAGTAAAAGTTATGATATAAAAGCTAAAGTCATCTGCAGTTAGCTTGAAGCCTTATGAAATATCATTCAAGGTATTATTTATTTAAATTTTTCCTATTTCAATTGCGTAAAAATGAAATTATGTGATATTTACTTTTTCATATTAATAGCAGGAATTTATCTTTTTCTTTTCTTTAATTTATATGTAATCTTTGGGAACCTATAAAAACTACACTCACTGTTTTTGCTATTATTAGCACAATTAAATACGCAACATGTATTTGCACACATTTTTGATAAAATTTATGCGTAAAAATATTTTGTCCAATATTCCAATTTTGTCATATTTCGCCGCTATGCACGCTGGCGTCGTTTCAATGTACCCCTACCATGGTCACGCACGGAGCGAATATAGCGTTCATAGATTTCGAAAAGGCTGTCGATACATGAAGGAACAAAATCAATACAAATAAATTTTATTTATCGTATGGCAATTACAACACATTTAGAACAAAATTACAAACACTAGTAATATAGGTATATAACAAACTTTAAATAATTACAAACAAACATCAAGTGTATTAACATAATCAATTGACACTGAAGTTGCAAACAGGAAGTCTTCAGGGCTACCGTTATAGGATCTTGAGGGACACTCTTCAATAATGTGGTTGATCGTTTGGTCCTTCCCACAGTCACATTGGGGAGACGGATTCTTTCCCCATTTATGTAGCATGTATGCACATCTGCCATGTCTGGTTCGGATCCTGTTTAGAGTGGACCATGTTTTACGTGGAAGATCAAAACCTGGTGGCTTATGGGTAATGCAGGGCATGTTATTTTGCCATGCATTCCATTCTTGGGACCATGCATTCGTGATGTTGAACTCCTCATGTATCATTCTTGCCGTTTTCATTGGTGGTTTTCTAGAACGTAGACGGGTATTTCGTGCATCGTCGGTATCTTGGTGGATCGGCAGGTTTATATTGTTCATGATCTTTTTGTATTCACGTGTAAGTGCATCAACTCGTCGTAAATGTGGAGGTGGAATGTGACTTAATACTGGAAGCCATTGGGTGGGAGTTGATTTAATTGTACCAGCTATCATCCTCATAGTGCTGTGCAGCTGAGTGTCGACCTTTTTTACGTGTTAACTGTGTAGCCAAACTGGGGCACAATATTCAGCGGTCGAGAATACAAATAAATAGAGGCGTGAGACAGGGTGACACAATATCACCGAAACTTTTCAATCAGGCTCTGGAAAATATTTTGAAAATATTAGAATGGGAAGAAAAAGGTATAAAAATTTGTGGACAAAGTTTGAACCATCTAAGGTGCGCTGATAACATTGTATTGATAACCGATAAAAAAGAAGAATTGTTTGAAATGATGAAAGAACTGGAAGTAGAAGCTGAAAAGATAGGCCTGAATATTAATTACAGCAATATCACAATCGTAACAAATACAGATGAAGACATCATAATAAGGATCGGACAAGATGAAATAGAACAAGTCCAGGATTATGTATATATATATATATATATATATATATATATATATATATATATATATATATATATATATATATATATATATATATATATATATATATATATATATATATATAATAAGTATTCAACTAGTGAATTCAGAGGTTTATTCGGTCAGTCAGGTTGGCAAAATAAAAAACAGAAGTCAACTACTTCATAAGTTTATCGAAGACGTTTCGCTTTATATTTCTAAAGCTTCATCAGTTCTCTAAAATACAATTTTTAGAGAATTTTTAGAGATTTATTGCAATCTACGCAAAAAGACGTGGCGCGATACCGAAAATGTTTTTCAAGGGCCATATGTTCAACAAATTCCAAGGTTTGAGACAATTATGAACTTCTACGGGGGTCATTGAAAGAATAGTTGGACGGTGGATTTGTAACGGAAAAATTTGATATGATTTTTTTTTTTTTGTAATTTATGTTTTAATGAAACTTAGAGCTTTGGGATGATTATGTTATTGTTTTGAATGGAAAATCCGGCTATTTTAAATTATGAATATTGGTATTATTTATTTCGTAAGATGAGAGAGTGGTAAACCTGGCTCAAATTGTCAATGTCGGTTCTTTTGTTTATTGCAGATGGGTTTTTTAGGATCTCACACATTTCAATAAAGGAGCGTTTTTGATGGTTATTTTGTTTGGCCAGTATTTTAGTATTTGAGAAGTCAATGTGATGTTTGGTGGAAATGGCGTGTTGTGCAAGGGCACAAGAGGGTTTGGAAAGTCTAATGTCGCTTTTATGTGAAGTTATACGCCCTAGAAGTGAACGACTGGTTTGGCCAATGTAGCAGGAATTGCATTCAGAACAGGGGATTTGATAGACAACATTAGTGTGCTCTAACGAGCTTAGTGGAGTTTTGGACTTGGAGAATAACTTTCCAATAGTTTTAGTGTTTTTTAGGGATATTTTGACGGGTAAGTTTTTGAATAGTTTAGTAAGCTTGTTCGTAACTTGTGGGAAATATGGAAGAGAAGCATATTTTGTGGCTGGTTTCGGGGTTAGCGGGGAATTGTCAGTCTGTAAGCTATTGGATATGGAGGCTAGTATTGCACCGTTAGGTGCTTCAGAAATAGAATGACCGTAGCTTTTAGAGAAAAGATATCTGTTGATGATGGATATGGGGTAAGAGTTATCAATGAGGATGGATTTGAGTAAATCCAAAGATTCCCTCTTGTACCGCGTATGGGTCAACGTGTGTACTCTAAAGCTAAGAGCTTGTACAAGGTTAAGTTTGTATCTCATCGGGTGTGTAGAGTGGTAGTTTAAGAACCGGTTACTCGCCATTTCTTTCCTGTACCACGTAGTGCCCAATATGTTGCTATGTGTGCGTATGATTCGCATGTCCAAAAACGGTATGCTGTTATCAACCTCCAATTCACATGTAAATTGAAGGTGAGGATCAACGCTGTTGAAGACTGATAAGGTGCTTAAAATCTTATCAGGTGGTGTTGCTAGGATCAGGTCGTCGACATAACGCTTTACAAAGGGAACCTGGAAATCCAACTTACTGATACTCTCATTGAAAACACGCCATTTCCACCAAACATCACATTGACTTCTCAAATACTAAAATACTGGCCAAACAAAATAACCATCAAAAACGCTCCTTTATTGAAATGTGTGAGATCCTAAAAAACCCATCTGCAATAAACAAAAGAACCGACATTGACAATTTGAGCCAGGTTTACCACTCTCTCATCTTACGAAATAAATAATACCAATATTCATAATTTAAAATAGCCGGATTTTCCATTCAAAACAATAACATAATCATCCCAAAGCTCTAAGTTTCATTAAAACATAAATTACAAAAAAAAAAAAATCATATCAAATTTTTCCGTTACAAATCCACCCGTCCAACTATTCTTTCAATGACCCCCGTAGAAGTTCATAATTGTCTCAAACCTTGGAATTTGTTGAACATATGGCCCTTGAAAAACATTTTCGGTATCGCGCCACGTCTTTTTGCGTAGATTGCAATAAATCAGTGTTTTGTTTGTCTTCATTGGAGAACCATCTCTAAATGAAGCCAAATGTACGTTTAAAGTTTTTGTAAATCTTCGTTTCTGCGAATGTTATTTTTTGCATATTTCTGTTTAATTTTTTTTAAGTTAGTTCTAAATTTATGAGTAATCTTAAGTACATATACGATAACATCTTTAATACTACATATTGAGTTGTAAGTAATAAACTATTAGATCTGTATTTCTTATAAACTCTATGTCATCTTTGTATTTTAGAGAACTGATGAAGCTTTAGAAATATAAAGCGAAACGTCTTCGATAAACTTATGAAGTAGTTGACTTCTGTTTTTTATTTTGCCAACCTGACTGACCGAATAAACCTCTGAATTCACTAGTTGAATACTTTATTAATATATATATATATATATATATATATATATATATATATCTGGGGAAAACCAAACAGCAGAGATAAAAAGATGAGTTAGACTAGCATGGACGGCATTTAGCAAACTAAGCTACATTCTTAAAAATATCCACAGCATCTTAAGACCAAAGTATACAATCAATATGTACTCCCTATTCTCACTTATAGTGACTAAACGGGGACGTTTGCAAAAGCAAACATGGACAAAAATCATAAAAATCCAAAGGGCAATGTAAAGACAAAAGTTGCACATAAGACTCAGGGATAAAACAAGAAACGAGTCGATAAGAGCGAAAACAAAAGTGAGAGATGTTAGACAAGAAGTTGCAGAGATTTGCCGGACACAAATAAGACAAAAAGAAGACCGATGGAACAAAATTCTTATAAGTTGGACACCGTGGGAATATAAACAAAGCAGAGGAAGGCCCCAAATGAGATGAGCAGATGATGGGCACGTGGGCTCTAGGTGGATGACTGACAGACCGAGAAAAATGGAAAAGGATTGGGGAGGCCTATGACCAAAGATGGACCGAAGAAGGCTAATTAGGTAGAAACAGAAGCGAACGTTAGAATATTTATTAATTAAATGTAAAACTACAATTATTTTAATATACCTATTCAATCATACTAATTTTGTTTGTATTTAAGAAGATTTTGACGAATAAAATAAATAACTACTAAAATTCTAATTTGGCATTTAATTAATAAAAATTCCAACGTTCGCGTTTGGTGATTTGTCAAAAAGTTGACATTTGTTAATTCTCTAGTTGTTTTTAGTTTTCAAAAGCGTTTATAGCTCAATATTTGGTTTCTATTTCTGCTTAGTTTAGTTAATTCTCTAGTTATTTGTAGTTTGCAAACGCGTTTGTACCTGAATATTTAGTTTTTGTTTCTGCTTAATTTAGTCATTCAAGTTTATTCAAGTTGTTTTTAGATAGTTGTTCTTAGTTAATATTTAGTTTAATTATTGTTTAACGAGACGTTTAAATTTTTACAAAGGCAGAATGGTACGTACTGTAGCCGACAAGTAGCAGCTGTGTTAATAATTGGTGAATGTGGAAATAATTTCCATGCAGCGGAACGTCTGGAAGGTACCCCAATCGCCCTACATCAAGAGCTTATTTGAGGAAAGTTTAAACAAACAGGTAGTATTCAAGATGTCAAACGATCTGGCCGACCAACAGTTAGTGATGACAAAAAAATTGACATAATTTCCGAAACGGTAGTGAACCCTACTTCTTCTACAGCCCAATTTGCATCTATCTATGAAATCAGCCAAAAGATAGTACACCAAGTGTTGATGATTTGAATGACTTTTGAATGATTTTAATATAGACATTTGGGAACGTCTTTTTGCGGTATAAACTGTCAGGTAATTTAAAAGATCAATTCTACTTCTTCAACTTTCTTAAGAGCGAATATCAGCCATCCGTGTAGTATGGCAAACATTGCGGGGAACTTTACCTGTTTTGTTATTTAACAGCCGGTTTCACAAAGTAACGTTACCTTGCGGTTAAAAGATAACCAGCGGTTACCCTGAAATATAGGTTTCACAATATAAGGTCAACAGCTCGGGTTGTAGTTAACCTACAAAATTTTTAACCCAAAGTAAAAGCGGTGGTTTAGAGCTTGACCAGGATATCCTAACCTAATTTTGAATTTCGTTTTGTTGACATTGACAGTGTGTAGACAGACAAGTAAATTATTAATTACGCAAATATGGATTTTATGTAAATGCTTTTAGCAGTAATGAGGAAGCTGGCAGACGAAGAATCATTAGGCACAGACCAAATCATTTTGAAGAACTAGACCATGAAGGTTTTTTTTTCTGTCGGTTTAGATTCTCATAGAACACAGTTGAAAATATTTTGGAGCAAATTGAAGATACAATTTCCTATTTTTTTTTTTATATTTCGTGCATAAGAAAATAAGTAACTGTTCCTCTTCTGGCGAACAATTTGGCGATCTCTTGAATATTTTTGTGGGTTCCATTTTATAATTTTAATTTTAATTTGGAAGAACAAATAACCACTACTTAGGAACAAACTACCACACTAAAACAGAACTTAAAAATGAGAATAATATTTGTATATTGTTTTCGACCTAACGTGACAAATGTGTCATAACTCATCTATACTGGTCAATGCCTATAATATTTACTGACAATATTCCATAAAAATCTGACTATTGCCTATAATTTCCTACCAACATAAGAAAAATAAAACGAAACCTAAGGTTAAGTGACCATAACCGAATCTGTGAATGTGAAATGGCATCTGTCAGTTAAATTAAGGGTAAAGGTTACTTAACGCCTAGGGTTAACTACTGATTGTGAAACTGGCCGTAAGCGGGATGGACTTTATCTATTTTGCTTTTAAGGTAACTTTTAGTCAATTAAAATGTATTACAATTAATTCCTTTTGACGATAAATAAAGTGTTGTACCTATAGAACGGACTCTGATAAATTGGATAAGCTCAAAATCCCATTTTTGACAAACTGTGGATGAAACGCGTTTTGCTCTTAAGCACCTCTAATATTAGCAAAAAGTTATATGAAATCTAAGGCGAATTTATAACATTTTATTTTTGAAACTTTACTACTATTAATTACTATTAAGATTTAAAAAATCATTAAACCTTTGCATAAACCTAAAGTTTCTGTTATTCACCTGTATTCGATTCCTGCTTTCCACAACCAACTTTCAACCTTTTGTAGCCATAATTGTTGTTGACCTATGACAGAACCGGGTCTACACAGTCTCATCCACGCAATCGCTTCCCTTGCGGTCATTTGGTAATGTTTTATAAGATAAGCACCAATAAGAGAACCAGTTCTTCCTAAACCGGCCTACAAATATTACAAAAAAATATTAAAATACTTACTATTACGACTACGACTAATGCAAGAACCTACCTTACAATGTACAGCTATTGCAGAGGGGGCCGCTTCTGTAATTGCTAAAAATTTTATTAGTACTTCTTTGGAAGGCGTAGAACCATCAGGAAATATTAGGTCGAAGTGCTCTATTCCAACTTGTGTAAAACTAGAAATAATTTTGTTAGTATGTGATGGATTCGACCGTTAAGCTCTGGTTTCCTCGAATGCGGTATCGGCAAATTGCGATCGAAATATTACAGCGAATGGCGTCATAGAATACTGTACCATGCACAATGATAGCTGTGGTTTTAAAGGAAGCGTTAGAAGCCACCCCAACGCAATATAAAAAAGGCAACAAACTCGACCTCAACAATTATCGTCCGATTAGCTTGCTGCCAGTAGTTGCCAAAGTTATGGAAGCCATTATTTCCGAGGAGATGACCAAATTCGTTCTCCAGGAACATGTTATTCCAACACAACAACATGGATTTGTCTCTGGTCGCTCTACTCTAACCAATCTCCTACATTGTGTTACAGTTATATTTTTAACAAGGTCAGATTCACTTCTTCTATTTGCTGCAATAAAGGAACTTGATTTTTCCACCGCAATCTGACGTCATTCATCGCAGTATTAGGGTCGCAATTTGCCGGTACCGCTTTCTAGCAAACCAAAGCTTTATTCGATGGTAAATAGTTAATTTTATCAAGCAATAAAACATTGAAAAAGGAATAACGCTATACTACGTTTCACGTTTAGAAAATAACATTGCGAAGATAGGGCCATGTATTTCTTATGGACGATAGCAACACGGCGTTGCCACGACACACACAAGCACAATTTAGGTTTGTATAATTTGTATTTTCGTTTCCACAAACATGAATTAAATTAATGTTTTTTAACGTAATTGACCAAAAGTGCCCATTCGAAACAAGAGATGAAAAGTAGGGAAAATGATTTTAATTAGATAAATAGTATTTACAAAAGATAATTTTATTTTATCTTATTTTAATTATAGTAACGACAGTTTATTTGTTTTTCGGTGAGAATACGATATGCCATGAATCATATAAATCAGTAGAAAATATTGACCGCTTGGAATGCGTATATCTAATTACTAATTGCAACTTAAAATAATACGATGTGCGTATGTCAGCTATTTTATGTCGTCTCTGACTACATAATGATAATAAGACTTTTATTTAGTAGTTATTCTGACTTTACAGTTAAATATTAATTGAAAATGAAAATTCAAAAATTAAGCAAAAGGAATATCTTGGACATCCGTGCAAAAGAGAGTGTCTGAGAATTTTGGCAACACTGATCTCCATAAGCGTAATGTTATTTTCTTAACCCTTAACTGGTATGGTGATTTAAAATTACACTTAAAGTATGGCGGGGTCAGATTTGACCCTGTGCCTTTTTTTGCATGCAGCAAATAGAAAACAGAAAAATTTTCATTCAGATCGAATATAAATCCTTTTTATTATAAATAATAATGTTTACATATACTTTTTAATAATATCTGGCCTACTTCTGGCTAAACTTATAAAAATTAACATGGCTTTTCTTATCTGTAAAAAAAAATAGAGAAAAAATTAAAAATAATTTTAAACGGAATTGTTTTAATCAAAACAAACCTAAACCTAGGGAAAAATACTTAAAAACATGAAAAAACATAATAAACAAAAATTCTGACAACTACATTTTGCGCAGTATTTTATTGTTCGGAGCAATTTGTACACATGTTGGACGTTTTGCAATGGTCTTTGCAAATATGCCTGCTACACTCGTCACATACAATTGGATGTTTGTTGTCACTGTAAGGGCATAAGAAGCATCTGGCACGCTTAGGTTGTCGACGTTGAGGGTTATCTATGCTTCGTGGGGCCTCATCTGGGATATTGCTGATTCGCCTTATGGTTACCTTCAATTCCCGAGGAATGTTTTTCATTTGACTTCTTCGAACTAAGTGTTCGTTGATCATTTCTCTCCCTAAATCAATAAGGAAACGGTTACGAACCATCTCATTATTTGGATTAGCAGCATTATAAATTATGCCTGCATTTGCGGCGGAGATGTCCATCATTCGGTACCACAAAGTTAGAGGCCAACGCCGAGTACGTCTTCCTACTTTGTAATTGGCACAAATTTGGTCCAGTACATCAACGCCAACTTTCGTTAGGTTATAAAAGGAGATGATGTCTGGTAATTTCTTTGCTCCTTCTTCGACCATGTTATTATGGTGCATTGTAGACATCATGCAAACTGAGCGATTTCTTTTTGGAACGTATGACGCAATTGTTATATCCTTAGTAAATCCAAAAAGCGAGGAAAGTGGTTCACGTTGCTTACTAGCTAGGAACTCTTTAGGTAACTCCCTTTTATTCCGTCTAATAGTACCTACGTATGTCAAGTTTTGGCGTTGCAATTCTTCAACCAGCTCTAGTGACGTGAACCAATTGTCCCCTGTAATATTACGGTTCGAATTTGCTATTGGTTCAATCAAAGTTAGCACAGTTTGGGTTGGAATAGATAGCTTCTTTGGATTTGCCCTATTTTCATCTTTGCCCGTATATACAAAAGCATTGATCAAATAATGTGTACGAGCGTCACACAAACACAATATTTTTAGTCCGTATTTCACAGGCTTGCTTTTTATAAACATACGGAACCTACACTTTCCCCGAAATCCAACCAACATTTCGTCCACGGTTACGTATTCCCCACAAGAATAGTTTATCTTACAGTTTCCAATAAATCTGTAAAACAAATTTGAAATTGCAGCAAGTTTATCTCCGTCTTCAATACGTTGTCGTCTAGTGGCTGGATTGTCAAATCTTAAGGCTGTTAGCAGGAAACTGAATCTCTTTAGAGTCATTGTTGCACGAAAAATGTCACGACCTGTTCCATCTGTTGCAAAAAGCGAATTTATGTCCTCGTGACTCGACTTGAACACTCCAGCTAGATAGAGAAGACCGAGAAATGCTCGCATTTCTACTTCATCGACATGATTAATAAACTGACATGACAAGGCCTGATCGCCATAGGTTGCCTGCAGTTCAGTTATTTTCTCATTCGTTCTTGCGATAACTTCATTTATAATGTATCCATCGAGAAAAAAACTGAGCGCCTGCAAGGGTGTAGTTGGCTTATTGGTCCGACATGGTCCCGAAAGGCCAGGAATATGCGACACTATGTTGGTGACGCGAGTACGGCTAGACGCAGGTGGCGTTTTCGCCCACTTTTTTCTATTTTTTCCGTAGAAATAGCCACTTTCATCCCCAACAATTTCACTTTCAACAGATAAGCTAACTTCTTCGACAGAGTGCCTATCACTGCCATCAACAGCTTCATCTTCACTCTCACTATCAGCATTGTAGTCACTATCCGTATCGTGATCACTAACAATCGTCTCTGCATCGGAAAGGTCGTTGTCGGTATCCCATAAAGTTTCAGCAATATGTTCAATTTCCTTTTGTGTCAAAGGCGCCCTTTTGTCACGCACGTTCGACATATTATACTTCGATCACAACTCTAAATTGAAAGAACAAACAAAATTGTATTTTTTTCTGGAAAAATAACAGTATTGTGCTTCTTACCCGAAAACGAGAAATTATCCTTTAACGGTATGGCAGGGTCAAATCTGACCCAATTCACAATATTCACGTGGAGCCACTAATTGCTTGCGGGCGACTGATAGCGGAACTGAAGCAGTTGCACGCCTTGAAAGAATACCTCAAATGGTATGTTGCCATATCGCCTAGTTTTTCCGAAAATTACAAAAGAATTTCCAATAGGGTCAAATTTGACCCTGCCATACCAGTTAAGGGTTAACGTGAAACAAAGAATAGCTTTCAGAACAAACAACTTGGGCAAATATACAGTGTGTCCACTTAAGTTCGCACCATATGGGAAACTTTCTTAATATTAGTTTTACGAAAAAAAGTTATTCTTCATAAAAAGTTCTGCATGGTGTAAAAACTAAAATACAACCATCAGATATTAAAATTTTTCAGTCGTATACGAGGTATGTTCAAAAATATGAATTTTACCAAGAGCAAAGTACCTCAATTTTTTATAATTTCGAAAATTGTTATCAAGAAAATTTATTTAAAAGTCTACAACATGTTCAAATATATAGCCATGTATACAAAATGTTTAAAATGGAGATTTTCTACATTTTGCTATTGCATGTCTACCCTACAACAGTAATAAATGCATAAGTACATTTTTAATCAAGTTGCCATGATATTTACATATCTGACATTAAACGTAAAATACATATTTGACAGTTACAATAAATTCTAATTAAAGATGCCGGTGGTATTGAATTTAGAAGAAAAAATAGAAATGGTGCTAATTGTGGGTGATAATTATAAAACGTATCGGGAAGCAGCTGAAATATTTAATAACAGACATCCAGGAAGAAATATACAACATACAACAGTTATGAGACTTATGGTAAAATTCAAAGTATACGGAGATGTTAAAAATAAATTCAGCAACAAACGTGAAAAACGCGTTGCAAATGAGGCGACGAAATTAGATGTAATGTTATCTACAGTGCAAGATCCTAAATATTCTCTACGAAAGAGGGCATTGTTGTTGCAAAATGCAGGTAAAAGTACAATTGCAAAAATTTTGAAGGAAAATCAGTTTAAACCATATAAGCCTAAATTTATTCATACATTGAAACCTAGAGACTACGATAAGAGAATAGAATTTTGTTTTCTTATTCAAGAAAAAATTGAAGACGATCCTTTTTTTGTTAGAAAAATAATGTTTTCAGACGAAGATACATTTAATTCAAATGGAACGGTGAGTTCTCAAAATTGTCGATGGTGGAGTGACAACAATCCTAACTTCACAATTTCACAATTAGGACTCGTGATCAATATTCATTTAAAACAAATGTTTGGTGTGGCATTTACAAAGATAAAATAATTGGGCCATTTTTTTTTCGACAATCCATGACCTCTCAGAATTATCTAAATTTCTTACAAACTCACGTGTGTGATTTTATTGATGACCTATCACTACATGAACGGCAACAAATATGGTACCAGCAGGACGGCGCTACATGTCATAGTACATTGGAAGTAAGGCAGTATCTGGATCATTTGTTTAACGGAAGAGTAATCCACAGATATTCAGAGACTTTTGGAGACCAGCTAGGTCGCCAGATTTAACCCCGTTAGATTATTTCTTTTGGGGTTACTTGAAAGAGAATGTATACAAACAAGGGCCGTTTACAAACGTCCAACATTTGGAAAGGGTTATTACGGAAACCATTCAGACTATAACTCCCAACATGATTCGAAATGTGTTAAGAGAATTTTGTCGTAGAACGGAAACTTGTATTGAAAGAGAAGGTGGGTACGTTGAGGCAATGGCGGTTTGATCTAAGAAAATCTATTACTTAATATTTTTTGCAAATATTTTTAACAACTTATTGTTATAATTGCTATTCATGTTAGATTGTAAAATAAATAACGTTGTTATGTGTACGAATTATTTTAAAACATAAACAAAATGCTGCAACAGTCAAGTTGGGAAACTAAAAGGTTATCAAATTTTTGATAAAAAATGAGTTAAATGTTTGTTAGATATGTTTACAATTTTAAATAAATTTTCTTGATAACAATTTTCGAAATTATAAAAAATTGAGGTACTTTGCTCTTGGTAAAATTCATATTTTTGAACATACCTCGTATACGACTGAAAAATTTTAATATCTGATGGTTGTATTTTAGTTTTTACACCATGCAGAACTTTTTATGAAGAATAACTTTTTTTCGTAAAACTAATAATAAGAAAGTTTCCCATATGGTGCGAACTTAAGTGGATACACTGTATAAACAACAACAAGAACAAAAAGAAAAAGTATTGACACAGTGGTATATACAAACTTACATATGGCGACCGTTTAAAAACTTACATCGGTCAAACGGGTACAACTTTTAACAAACGGATGGCAGAACACAAAAGAGCCTTCAATAATAGAAAAATAGATTTTACTCACGCACTTCACCTTCTAGATCACAATCAATCAAACAAGAGATAAATTTTAAATTATAAGATCCAAAATATTAACCTCAACGCCTTTGAAGTAAGAACTAGAACAAAAGGAGATTAGAAGAAAAAAAGGAACTCGTAAAACAATTTTTTTTCAATCCAAATTCCAATGCTCAAGTGAAGTGGAAGATTTTACATAATACGAAGATGATGAGACTGACGACATTGACGATATTAATACCGAGAATTGTAACGAAGGAAAATCATGTTTAATTTTTGGTGAGTTGGGAAAAAGCGAATTTTGGTTCCATTGCTTTATTTGTGGTGGATGGATGCATAAATTATGTAGGGTCACATACAAACCAGACAACTATAATGTGATCTATGACTGAACTATGATGTGATTTTTGTTCTTATTAACATTTTTCGATATGTCGCGTAAAAGCGAACATTCCGTGAACAATTTTACTTGATTTTTATTATTAATACAATTTTTATTTTTGAATATTGAATAAGATAAATTAGTAGCTGGATTACTGTTAACCACTCTGTAGCAGATTCCGAATTTTTAATATCTGTAAAAAATACACAATTATTTTCCTCAAGTGTTCGTAATTACCCATCGCTCCCCCAACTATTTATTTAAGGATTACTTACGCTGAAGCATTGTACGATGCAACATTTAATCTTATGATAGTTTTTACATCATTATTTAGAAAATATTTTATGTAAAAATGGGGGGAGTGTGCAGTACGATTATCAGCAGGCCCAATAAATGCTAAGAACTTCCGAGGAAGCAACCAATTCATATGACCATACTGAAGTTTGTCACATAAATCATATTCTGATACATCAAAATCCTCGAAGTTTACGAAGTTAAATGTGATAGCTCTTTGTAAGCTGTACAGACAGTCAATTATTCTTAAATGAAATCCACACGACTGTATGGATGCGTCCCAAAATAATCTGAAACAAAAAAATTCGTAACTTAAAAATTATTTCGTTAAATTTAAGTTTCAACCATTTAAACTATATAAAAAATAAAACAAATATATATTAATCAAGTGTACACATAATTTATCTATTTTTTACTGGCATTCACTTTCTTCAGTTTTATCTCAGTAGGTACATTATCTTAGCAGATAGTATCAAAACTAAATAATTACTTGCAAAGGGGCAAGCTGCATTCAAACAAGATTCAGCACCAGGAATCAGCTTTTAATTCTAAAATTATTTATCCAAAAAACTAACGAATATTACCTTGTAATGTTCGTACCTTGTAATGCCACCAGTGTGGCACTGTCTGTCAGCCAAATGGAATAAATTAGCTAATAAATAAATGAGGGAGTATTCAAAAAAACTGTCGAATGCGTCGATTAGTATTTATGTTGGCATTTTTTTCCATAAAATCTTTTTATAAGGTGTTTATCAGATAACGTTGGACCACCAACTTGCTTATTTTAAATTGAATACCCTGTATATTAATTAATTTTTAGATTCCTTAGATCATTTTAGACATTGTTTTTATACAATGTCCTATACCTATCTTTGACTGTTTCAGAAATATTAAGTAAAATACAAAAATTCACATTTAGAAAAGAAAATTATTTATTTGTCGAAAGTCGCTACCACTGCCTTAATACTTCTTGCCCATTTAGGTCTTGGTAATGATAAAGTAAGCAAAAACTATTTAAGCATTCATTTTTATTGATATGTTAAAAAAAAAGCAAAAAATCATTTACTTTGGTTTAAAACGCCAACGTTTTATTGTTCCATGACAGAAGTAGTTCTCAGTGCTATAGTCGTTTGAATTTCATTAACCGCAAGCCAGAAAAATGGTTCATTTAACAGAAATGCACAAAATTACAATTATGCAGATGATTGGCTATAGGGATAACACGCGGACGCAAATGGAAGTAGCTCGTTTGTTTCACGAAGCATTTCCTGATTTGTCGCAGATATCCCAAGGGACAATTAGTAAATTAGAGAAGCAATTCCACGAGCTGGGCCATGTTAGATAGGTAAAAAAAGAAACTGCCAATGAAACTTTGGCTGTTATGCTTGAGTTTTGAGGAACACTCACATATATCTGTTCGAAAAGCAGCTCCAGTACTCTATATTCATCGGTTATTCGAATATTACTTCTTCTTTGGGTGCCGTCTTCAATGAAGGTTGGCTATAACCTCAGCAAAATCATTTCTGTCCCTGGCTTTTCTTATTAAAGATTGAGAATCCAAACCAGTCCACTCACGAATGTTCTTCAATCAGGACGCCTGCCGTCTACCAGGACCACGTTTTCCTTTTTTCCTTCTACCTTCCCCTCTATAAGAAGCTGAAGTAGCTGGTATTTCTCATTTCTGTATATGTGTCCCAAATATGAGGTTTTCCGTGTTTTCATTATTTTTAAGAGTTCTCTGTCGGTGCCCATCGAATATTACAAGAAAACAAAATGCATCCCTATAAAATTATACACACTCAGGAGCTCATGGAAGATGATTTTGACAGGAGAACGTATTATTGTGAACAAATGATGGCAATGCTAGACAACAATGTGATCCAATTAGAACATGTTTTGTTTTCTGATGCGTGCACTTTTACTCTTCACGGTCATGATAATCGACAAAGGTCACACTGTCTTTAGGCACTCTGGAAATATACTGTTACGATAAATATGACTCAAAACTGTACACATATTTATTACTAATATTCTTTTTTATTCAAGTATTTTCCAGATCATATAGGTGCTGACAGAAATTTCTAGTCAATCAAGAAGATCCATGGGTCCCCTATGCTAAAAAAACTTGTTTGCATTCGATGAAATCGAATAATCCACCGTTCTAGTGGATAAGGTCATCGCTCCTTCTAAATAATGGATATTTAGTTTATATATGGGACATTTTATGTAAAGAGTTCTAGTTTTGAATATCGAGTTAGTTTGAGTCTAAAAATATAATTGTACGCGGAAATAAATATTGTGAAATAAATTATTAATAAAGACTTTAATAAATTTGTAAGTGTTATAAATACAACGTTTGATACACTGGAGAACACATATTTTGTTAGGTTAGATCTGACACTTGTTTCCCACTAATTTTTGTCGTCTGAATCTGAGAATAACCTCAGTTTTGTCTATCACGTCAACTTTTTAAACTACAGGATACCCTCAAAAATGATGCATATAAAGAAACACAAAATAAAAACGTGTATGCAACCACGCATTCTTTTCAATTTATGACATTGTTACCACATTTATTAAATGTTCATCTGCAGAAAGTTGCCGAATCTGTGGACCATCAAAAACACCGGGAGCATCTTTTCAAATGACAGGCTAGGAAATTTAGACACAAGATAGTTGAAAAAATAGTCTCCTTCAGTTGTCAAAGCTTTAACCAATTGCTTCATGAGACCCAATTTTATATACAGATGTGGAAATATAATGTTCTTTCTCTCGACAAGTGGCTGATGTACAATGTTTTGATCACCAGGTCTCAGGTCCGGTCTTGGAGGCCAATTCCACTGCACCCAATGGTGCGCACGAGCTCTGCTATCCCACATACACAAAAAGCAGGGATACTTTGTGTATCCACGTTGTTGACCAAGTAGGAAGCAGACCATTTTAAGGTCAACAAAAATGATCCATTGGTGCATGTAATATTGCGACAGATCAATGACTTTCTTTATGTCATTATATTTTTTAAGCAACCAAACTGAATAGCCAATTGAAAATTAACCAAATAAATTTCCATTGTTGAGAAGAACACACTTCAAGTTCTGCTTTAAGCTATCTATAAACAGTCGCCAGTCAGTTGTGTTATAGTTTTAAATTTCCAATTCTTAAATTAAATTACTTACATTATGGAAAACACAAATCCACCATCACTTTGAAAAAATTGCAGAAATGCCCTTTCTCGTGCTCGCAAATAGAATAGCTTGGCTCTTTTTTCAACAAAGTTTTTCTCATTGAGTCATGATGCTAAGAGCTCTGAATCTTTTTTGGATAGTCCCAAATCTCGTACCAGATCATTAAGCTCTTGCTACTCGAATCCCTTACGTAAGGAGTCATCTCCAATTTCGAAATCTTCATCGTTGGAGTCGCTTTCATCTGCACCGTATCCGCATTCCCCTTCTTCTAAAGAGGAAAATTCATTGAAAACTGGCACGGAGATTTCGGCTGAATGCGACACTGGGCGTATAGCTGACTGTAAACTGGGATACTCTATCTTACATTTGTTTTCCTTGTTATATCCTAATGTTTTCACTATACAAAAGTAACAATCACTTCAATGATCTTTGGCTCGCTCCAAATCATAGGTATATCATATTCCTCTGTACTTGGAGATATGTTGTTCGGTGGATATATTCAGTGACAAAGACATTGGTAGTAAATTTTGGATACGTACAGTAGTGATCGCATATTATTGGCTGATATGCGGATCCCTTTGGTAGTCCAGGGTTTGTGATGCTTTGACTTAATTGTAATTAAAGAAAATGCCTTATCGAAAATACAGACAAGCTTATCAATTATAGTAGATGTTTTTTTAGTAATTCTTGTAGGAGAATTATCGTGCATTGTGAAACCATACGATTTGAATATATTGACCAAGGATAATTGGGTAGCACAAGCAAAAGCGTAATTAATATTCAAGTGACCGCATAGAATCTTTCTGCTTTTATTGGGCAGGTCGTCGAACAAATTTAACAGTTAAAAAAATAGTTCCATGGAGGAATCAGGTGATCTATAAGTGCAAAGAATGTATAGATTAAGATTCTTATTATAAACCAATGAAAACTCAAAAAAGGATTCATTCAACAGAAAGTCATATGTTGTTATAGGAGAGAAATCATTATTTGTAGAATGAATTAGAGTGCCACCATGAGCTGAACTTGGATAGTCATACCTACCAATTGTGGTATATTTTTCTACAAAAAAATGCTCGTTAACTTCAAGCCAGTGGGAGAAATCCCAGTTACTCTAGAAACAAAAATAATTCATCTGTTTTATATCTTATAGAACGAATATTAATCAGAACCATGCTAAAGTTGTCATCACTATAATAATTTGAGGTTTATGATCACTTAAATGATTGAAAAACTATATATTAGTCTTACTTGTAAGGGCCAAGTTTCTGCAAAATATTCCAAATATCTTTGGGTTGAAAATTCAAATACATAATACAAAACAATCCCATCAAACAAGCAGCATTTGCTTTTTTTTCTGGGTATTCACAGGTGTAATGTACCACACATTTTTCACCTTTTGTGGAATTGATATATTTTCTCATTTTTAGACAATATTTATACAAACAAGAGATATTGAAAGGTCCAAAATCATTGTAGTAATTTTCGTAATAGAATTCATCGTCTATGCAGATGAATACAATTTTATTATTGTTAATATTATTATATTTCAGCTTGATAATTTCCTTTCCAGTCAATACTGCAAAATACAACTGCTTATGAAGAATTTCTACATAATTGTCTGCTTCTCTAGGAGTATTAATTTGTTTATCCATATTTATTTTTATGGAAACAACACACACGGTTTATCTGGATTTTTGCAAAAAAGTATATATATGAAGAAATGGAGAGTATAATTTGCTAATATGGCCACAATAAAGTTTAATGTTTTGTACGCGGTTACACTCATTTTTTAATTTAGTTTTTGTTTAATTGACAAACGTCATTTTGAATGTAAACATTTTTTTCAACCAATACTAGATAAAGTTAGTGACAATAATATTATGAGATACTTCAAGTGCCGTCAGTTTGGACACAGAATAATAAATAATAAGAATGCCCACTCTGCTTGAAAAAATTAATAAGCGCATCTCGTTCGCTCAGACGAAATCAGCCATGTTTTAAACGGAACCAGTGCTGTTAAGTGACATTTTATCTGATGATTTATTATCATTATCTTTACTTTTCTTATAGCACTGGAAGATTGATGGTTGGTTAATGAAAAATGGACGTATATTCCTTCTGCAATAAGCATTACATGTAGGACCAATTGAATTTTCAGAAAAAAACTGCTTTACATCCAATCCACAGAATAAGAAAAAAACAGAATGCCGCCTTTGAAGTTTTTCAGCACGCGATCGCCATGATTTAGATAGAAACATAGACTCAAATTGAGAAATTTGTGACAAGCTATGACAAAACTGTAATTTAAATTTAGTACATTTAAACTAATTTAATCTATTCTTCAACTAAAAGTACGAATAAAATAGTGCATATTATGTCTGTAGTTGCCGCAAATAAATTAAACCAAACAAAAGTTCAGGCTACAGTTCTAACGGAAGTTGCTATATGTGGCGCAACGCACCGATATAAAATATAATTCGTATGTTATTCTATACTTTTTAGTTTTAATAATATTGAAAAAAAGAGAAAAAGGATATTATAGTAAACAATTGGTTTATTCATTAATTCCTAAAATAATGATCGTTTTGGTAACAAATGTTGTAAAGTTCAATTTGGTTATTAATGACACGTACAAAAAACAGGTGATTCTTGATAAATTGAAGGTTTGAAATAATTGATGACATAAATGTTTACAGTAAACAGCCCTATAGTAAGGTAAGTCCTATAGAAAGATTTGATAGAGAATTTTTAGCGCCATATGCGGACGGGCCGAAACTAATTTTGTTTGACTGATAATTAAAAAAGTAGGTTCTGAATATTAGAGGGCAAATTCAAAAAATGGCAATAAATTTCAAAAAGTATGCTTTTAATTGAAATTATAGTAATAAAATAAAAACTTACTCTATGCCAAAAAATATATTATCTCTATCCAAAAATATAGTATTCACTTACGCATTTTTATATATAAATGTCAGACAGAGAAAGCTCAGACAGAGAAAGTTTTTATTTATTATTTTATGACCATATCTGTTTTCCATTACATTAAAACCAAAGTACCAAAAACAACAAAATAAAAGACAGATATCCTGACACTTATTTATTTGTATAATTTTCTTTGGTAAAATATTGTCAACAAAATATTCTCCTCCTGCTCAGATTGTGGGTGGGGACAGTCCAAATATTGTTAGTTTGCTTGCTGTCTCCATTGGCTGGGATCCTGTACCAGATGGACAACTTCATGTAGGAATTTTACCACCAAGCACCAATCTTCATTTAATCTTCCCATCCTGTTGGAGATCATCCTATTGATAAACAAATATAGATGCCTCTATATTCATTAGTACTGGTCTGTTATTAGTTCCATACCTTCTACAATACTCCATCTGTAGATAATAAAGTGTAAACTCTAGCATTTCTGTGAGCTTGCTCTTCAGGATAATCACAAATTAGTATGTAACTATTGCTCCTAGAGAAAGTAACTAGAAGTAGAAGGTCCAAGAAAATCTATAATGATAAATTAGAATGTATGTCTTTTTTTATAAAATAAGGCAACTTTTAGGAGTGCAATTATGGGTTAAAAGTTTTAATGATTATAATATATATATAGATAAAGATATATAAAAATTATTGTATACCGTTTTTATCTCCTATTTCTATAATTTGGGATATTTTTATAACACCATTTGCAATTTACAAAGCGCGGATTACAATGTTGCCACTAACCACTAACACATATTTTTTCGGTGATACTCAAAATTCTTTAGAAATTTATTATTTATTATTATATTTATTATTATATATTATGTTATTGTAACTTTAAGTTACGATTTTAGTAGCATTTGATATAATCTTTATTTGGGAAACATTGTATAATATAATCATTATTTGGGTAAATGTGCAAAACTAGTAAAACCATTGCAACAGCAAGTACATTACGTCATACGCTCCTTGTTATGTCATACCTTCACAGTTTACCGTCATTGGTCACCAACTAACGTCATACTTAACGTAACCAGTAGCGCCGTCGCCATTAAAACGGCTGGGCCCAAGCAACTAACTCTTCCCACATGTCCTACTACAGTTACACTACTATATGTGGTATATACTGTGCTAAATGTCATTCTAATTTGACAACAGTTAACAGTTTGAAGTTTGACAACAGTTTTGCGATTGGGATTGGGGGTGGTTTAATTTTTCTCTATTATTAGATAATTGATAACTGTTTGTTTACAATGGTAAGTTACGCATTTCACTTTTGTGTAAATTCTATAACAAATTTTTGTAGCCTACAACCCCACCTCAAATTTCGCCTGTAGAAGAACAGGAAAAGTATTTACATGATGCTTTGGGTATTGTTAAAGCACAAGCTTTTCAAATGAAAAGATCATTAGACAAAAACAAGCTGATGGATGCCCTTAAAAACGCTTCAGCCATGCTAGCAGAGCTTAGAACTTCATTACTGTCACCAAAGAGTTACTATGAACTCTGTAAGTATAAGTTACAGACAGCTTAAATTAATAAAATACAGTTGCCAACCATTAAGTAATACATTATTAACATTTTCTTAATATATTAGCATATTTTACACTAATTTATAGCTTTATCTTTGTGTTTTTGCACACAATAGTATAGTTTCCCTTTGATATTGTTAGATACAAGTGGTTATTCTTCTATGATAAGGCAGGAACCAATATAGTATTATGACTAAAACTAAACTATCTATTGTTACATCATGAGCCCTCAGTGGTTGTATAAAATTTGTTTTTATTGGCTCACCTAATAAAGCAAGACCATTTCTTAGGATATCATGATATACAGTATAAGTACATTAGCCTCAAAATATCAATGTATTGTGGATGAATTCAAAATTGTAGAATCGATATAATTTAGAAAATAAATGAATAGATAATGCTAGTCATTTAAAATGAAAGGATATAGGAAACTTTTATAATAAAAATCAGGAGAAAAGAAATTAAACTAAAAAGATTTTATCATTTATTTGTGTATTTGTTTAGCCAAAGTTAGTTCCTAGAGATGTGACAAAAACATTAATTTCTTTAATTTTTCAATGTTGCCAAATAATTTTTATATAATATGATTGGTCAGTACATGTATATGATCCATATAATAAGTCTGTTTAGTATTTAGCTTTAAATATCTTTTAAAACACCACAAATTCATCATCAACATTTACAGTATCAAACAGTATGCCTTCCTTACTGATATTTTTTGTGTTTATATAATAAGCATATGCAAAAGTCATGCCAGATAATAAACTGGAATATTGTCACAAGTTGTGTGTTTGTGAGCACAGTACAATACCAGTTTAGTGTTTATTTGTCATTATTAGCAATACTATCAGACATATTGATAATAAGGAAGATGATTGGTTTGGAGTTCATGTTTTTTTTTCTTTTTTATTTCTTCATGGGCATATTACCACCAAGTACCTAAGTAATGCAATTCCTTGTATTTAATTGCAGTAAATGCCTGGCAGGTCCTGATAAGATGATGATGTATCTGAAATCATTGTTTTTTTGTAGAAACATTGACATTTTTTTAGCTAAAATTAATTTTTTTTTAGATATGGCAATCTCTGATGAACTGAGGCATCTGGAATTGTTTTTGGTAGACGAATTTCAAAAAGGAGTCAAGGTTCCTGATCTATACGAATTAGTGCAATATGCAGGAAACATAGTTCCTCGGCTCTACTTACTTATCACCGTTGGTTTAGTTTATATTAAAACTAATAGTTCCTTGAGACGAGATCTGCTCAAAGACCTCGTAGAGATGTGTAGAGGTGTTCAACATCCACTAAGAGGCCTATTTTTGCGTAACTATTTACTTCAGGTAAGAACTTTCTATTTGACAATATTAGCTTCAATTTAAATCTTATTTGTTTTATAGTGCACTAGGAATGTTTTACCTGACACTCCAGATTGTGATGGTGATTGTCCAGAAGGGACTGTGAAGGACTCTATAGATTTTGTGCTTATGAATTTTGCAGAAATGAATAAATTGTGGGTGAGAATGCAACATCAGGGACATTCTAGAGACAGACAAAATAGAGAAAGGGAAAGAGAGGAATTACGAATTCTAGTAGGGACCAATTTGGTAAGATTAAGTCAACTTGAGACTGTTACATTAGACAAGTATCAGAAGTCAGTTCTACCTGGGATTTTGGAACAGGTATGTTGAATTTTGAAAATTATTAAAAGGTTTGCTTCTATAGATAGAAAGCTCACCTAAAATCACAGATTAAAATTAAAATGTTTTAACATGTTCCACTCACTCATTCCTAATTAAGTTAATTTTTTCTCTGGTTAGTACCTGTATAATATATTTTATTTTTGTTTATTACATACAATAAATATACTGGTTCATGAATTGGGAAGGTTCTTTACAATTCCTTCTCATATTCTATGTTGATAGCTTTATTTGGGTTCCTCTTATTTTGTATGTAACTGTAACACCTTAGGTATATGATTTCATTTTTATCAATCTTCCTGCTCCATATGTTATTATCATTATACTAGAATAAGTGTCAGAGAAAATCCACAAAATGCATTTTGTGAATTTGTGTGCTCTCTTTACAAGATAGGACAATCACATACATTTCTCCTTCTCTGTAAATATTTATAAATAATTTTAAATCATCTTTTAGGTTGTGAGTTGTAGAGATGCAATTGCTCAAGAATATTTGATGGAATGCATCATTCAGGTATTTCCAGATGAATTTCATATTCAAACATTGAACCCATTTTTGAAATCCTGTGCAGAACTGGAATCAGGAGTCAATGTTAAAAACATTGTGATATGCTTGATGGAACGACTAGCTTCTTTTAGCCAAAGATCAGATGCTATTGGAGGAGAAGGTAAACCATTTAAGATATTAACTCTAATATTAATGCAGCAACATTTTCCTCCATAACTGAAACAATGGATAGTAGGTATATCTATTGCCATGTTGAAGATCTTATTTTGTTATATTTATTTGATTTCAACACTACCTTTAATCTATTGAATTCGCTCAGCATTATGAGTTATCCATGTTTCCAAGTACTTTCTATCTGAATATTACTCATATATTATAATGTTGCATTTCCTGGGGATGTTTTGTGGTCACCATGATTGTCTTCCCTAGGTTCATGCTGATGCCATATTTTTAACAATTTTCTTTCTCTGTAAAGTCTGCAAAGTTAAAAAGAAAATATGACTATAATTCATTTAACTTAGCTCGTTTTTATTAATTTCTCCATTTGTAATCATTTTACCTCTTTCAAGAGCCTCACTTTATATGTTAATTAATAGTGGTGATAATATACACCTCTGTCTTACCCACTAAGAATATTTATCTCTTCTGATAGTAAATATTTGATTCCTATTTTGACTTTCTGATTAAAGCATAAAGTTTATATTATTCTGATGGCACAGATGTCAATGTTCTTTGTTCTTAGAATGTTAATTAATTTCTCATGGTGTTGGACCTCATCTAAAGCCTTTTCAAATCCAATGTAGCATGTGTAGACATCATGGTTCATATTTAGATGACTTTGCACGAGCAGATGTATTCCAAATACAGTCTTGCTAGTGCCGTTGTCGTTTCTTAAGTCTAGTTTTGGTTCTCACAAATTTCATCATCTAACTTTTTATAAATCTTAGTACAATTATCTTAGATCAGTACAATTGTCTGGTGTTCTAATACTTAAGTAATTTCAGTTTCGATATAGGCAAGTTTACTTTCGTTTAACCCAAATGAAAGTACCTGTTTATAGCATATTTGATAGTAATTCCCATGAGTTCCATAAATGGTTATCAATGTTGTTGGTTCAGCATAGCTGGCAGATTAAGATTCATGGAGCACAGTTAAAAATAATAAAGATTTTTTAATATTGTTCTGAAGCTATTTTCTTGTGGCATTTTAAATTAATTACTATTTAACTAGGAATAAGCCACAATTTAAGATAAAAATACGTTTATTGACATTTCAATTTCCACTTCGGAAATCATTCTCAAAATACAAACAGTAAATAAACATATTTTTATCTTTAATTGTGGCTTATTCCCAGTTAAATAGTAATTAATAAAGATTTTCAAAGCACTGACCGAAATTTGTGGGACACTGGTGGGGATTGGGACCGCAATTAAAAAAGAGACCTCTTCAACAAATGAAGTGGTGTTACATCTTGCTGTGGACGCAAAGATGACAACATTGGAAAATTTAGTTATAATTATATTAAAAAAAATCACCTAGAGAAAACAACAGTTGAGTATTCACCCGGGTGGTCATAAAGCTAATGGTACTCTTTGCAGAATTATTTCGAAGAGGAATAAGTGGTGTTAACAGGGGGTAACACGGAAGGAAAAAAAAATTATGGAAACAAAACACACTCCAACTACAATTTTTCAATTTTTTATTGCAATTTTTAGTCATATTCTGAATAATTTCAAATTTTCTAGGGGGAAATATCCTTAAAGAAGTCCAACTTTTTGAGGTATTCTCAAATCAGGTGTCATCAATTATTGAAACTCGTCAGTACTTACCTCCGGAAGATATGATTGCACTTCAGGTAGCTCTGATTAACTTGGCCCTTAAGTGTTACCCAGATAAAATTGAGTATATAGACCAAGTTATGCTTTCAAGTGTTGAGGTAAGATTTATATAATACTAGACATAGTTCAATTTAGAATTGAATAATAAATAATAGATATCGATTTTGTAAATTAATGTTTTATTAAAGAAACGGTTTTTTCTTTTTTCATTCAGTGCAGTCACAGTAGTAGAAGGTAAGACACTTGAGCGCATTTCGACCCTTGATCTCAGGAGCTTAATCCGTACGCGCATATGATTATTTTCACCATCATTACTGTGGACTGCTTTTTTAAAATAATATAAATATAATAATGTCTATTATTATTATATTATTTTGCTATTTACAATGCTATTTTACTTTATCATATTGAATAAACTTCTCACCTCTTAAACTATGTTTTTATAGATATTGCAGAGATTGGCCATCGAAAATATAGAGCCACACTCTTTAGTAGCCAAGGAGCTTCAAAAACTCCTGAAAATACCATTGGATCATTACAACAACCTTCTTTTAGTACTAAAACTCAAACATTATGCCGGTTTAATGGAACATCTGGATTATTTTGGTCGCAAATCTCTTAGTATCTATATTTTGAATAATGCCCTGGAAAATGAAACAATCGTTCCATCCCCAGAAGAAGCGGAACAAGCGCTTACTTTATTTGGAACTTTGGTGACAGATAAAAATGATCATCCAATTGGGGAGTTGGATATGGATGAGTTAACAGAAGAGCAATGCCTTCTGGCTAGATTTATACATCAAATGATGTCGAGTTCGCCTGATGACCAGTTTCTCATTTTAACTGGAGCTAGAAAGGTAATTTTTTGCTTTTATTATTATTTCTGTATATTATTATTTTTGAAACGACACTTCTACACTGGTGTTATATTACTTTTTCTCTGTAGTAATGCTGAAGCGAGCGTCACGAAATAGCGGTTCTTCACATCGATTCACTACTCTTGATAATTCGTTTCTAGTCATCATATATTAATTCTAAGCAGGCTTAAATTAAACACTGCATAAAACATAATATAAAATACAAACATTAAGAGCGTAGGCGCAAAATTTTGGGCCAATACTTACATAATAATTACTTAATTCTTTAAATAATTGCTCACGCAATACACAATTTAAGTATTGCTTACGCAATAAACATTTTTGAAGAATTTAAACGCAGAATGAAAGAATACATTATTACCGAGGGCCTAAAGTCCCTGACAACTTATATTCCATCGATAATAATGTAATCTTCCGTTTGTAATGCGTTTAAATTTTTAAAAAATATTTGTTAGTTTTCCCAGGATTCGAAAAAAATTAATGCATTTAAAAAGCATTGGCCCGAAATTCTGCGCCTACGCTCTTAAATTAAAAGTAAAAAATTTAAAGAATATCAATAAAAAATGTATATAAACAAACAGAAAAATAAAAGATCGATAATTCTCGTTTTAAAATAATTTCATATTCATACAATGTCGGATTTTTACAATTATCAGTTCGGCTATTGTATGAAAGTGCGACAGAAAGGGTTATTAGTAAACATTTTAAGTTGAATTTTCCTATTTATACAGTTACAGCAGATATTTGGAAGAGTCCATTTACAGTCCATCTAATTTACTTACCGTTGTACGTCATTATCATTGACAGAGATCGAAGTTGACATAGTTGCCAAAGTATAAAAAAATCCTGAATCCATTTTAAATCAAATAGGTCACATAATTATTGCAAAAGTGGATTATACAACAAAACAAATTAATATTTAATGTAAATAAATAAAAACAAAACAAGAGTTAAAAAATAATCTTATTGAAAACAATTTGAGCCGCTTGTATGCTTATGTAAAATAGAATTCGCGATAGCTAATTCCGACACGGGGCGCTGAAGATTTTATAGATGGACAATAACTTCGGGAAAACAAATAATTTTGTCATTTGATCTCTAAGGTATAAAACGTTTAATATAAATCATTTACACGTGTGTTTTGCCAAAGTAAAAGTTGGAGTACGTTCTTCAAAGTTTATTGAGAGAAAAATTGGTTACCCCACCTAATTTTTGTGTAGTATATAAATTAATTTGTAAAACAATTTCATCCAATAAATCTTCCGGAAATAAACATAAAAATATTTGATATGGCATAACAGCATTATCTGGTATGTTTACCAGTCCTGAAAAATTAGTTAATTCAACAAGTGGTTCAATTTGAATATTTTTACTCCAGGAGGCACTGCTGTAGTTTGTCAATGGTTCGTCGTCACTGCTGTCATCATAAAAGTACTCCTGATGGTTTGTCGACCTACCGGGATTATTGTCATAATCTTTGTCGTCGTTGGCTACAAGATTTATAAGTGTATTTATATTGACATGTTCAGAAGGATCTGTAGGCTCATTCCCATAATCAGAGTTGTCGTCATCTGCATCTGAGATGAAATTGGTTCATAAAATTCACTGAATTGTTCGTCTGTCATTTTTTGTAATTCCAAATAACTATATCTCTTCTTACCTAAAATACACTTATATCTATAATATAACTAACTTACCAGCCATTATCTATAAATATTTATTGTTTATCAATCACGCAAACAATAACTTAATTTCTACATCAACGTCTCTGTGACTGTTAGTTGAACGACGCGGTGTAACGGAAAAAAACCGCGAGTGTAGGCCCATAGAGAAATAACAAATAAGAGAGTGCTTGGTTGCATACATAAAACTGGCACACTCGATGCTAGCGACCTGATGAACTACTTACTCAACTAAACGGCCAGAAAATGGAACGCGGGATATTTAAAATTATTATATCTCAGTAAAGAATCTCAGTTTACAGATAATTTTACAGGAAAGACTTTAAACTGAATTTCCTCATACTCTAACCTAAAATATATGTGAAAAATTATGTGTAACGATCTAAATATATGTTCAGAATCAAAATATGTAAATTTTATTTGTTGTTTTTAGGTTAGAGTATGCAAAAGTTCAGTTTAAAGTCTCTCCTGTAAAATGAGATAGAAGGATTTCTCGATGCTAAGCCATCGATATTTTCCTCATAAATTTTCAGAAAAATAGGGGACATGAACACTGGAAAAAAAACTACACATGTTTTATTTTTATTAATCCTCACAGGGACCCCCCACTTTCCGCATGCATGTATGGAGTGCTGATAAAACAAAATAGAAAAACATATACAGAACAATTGTTTTGAAATATAAAGTTTTGAGATATAAAACACAGATCAACACAAAATGCATGCATGTCCCCGCTCTTCTTTATTTATCTTATATTTTACAAAATGCAGATATTACAAATTTGATTAGTAGGTAGCCTAAAAATATTCAAAGAAAAATATTACACAATATACAGAGAACTTTACTAAAGCTAAAATAAATACTCTTAAAATAACAACTCTTACAATAAAGTAAAATCCTTTTAGGTGATAAACAAATCGATATAACATATAAAATTTACCATTAACTATTTGACTGAAGTACCAAAGCATATTAAAAGAAAATCAATGTTGTGAACTTAAAAAAATAGTTTATTTAAATAAAGAAATGGAGAAGAGTTTAGAAAAATAGGCTAAATAAAATTATAAATGCTTCATCTTATTAATTTTCTTTTTTTGTAAATCATTTTTCTGCAAATCTCGATAACTTCTATAAACATCATCATAATATTTCCTAATTATTAAGTCTACAGACACATCTAGAAAATAATTGAACACATAATCCAAATGTTGGTTACAAGTAAACCACTCCATAGTTACATACTTTTTTATCAAAATTTTAATTTTTTTGGACAAATGGTTTATATGTCCATTATTGACTAATACAGCAATTACAATATCATGAATTTTGGCTAAATCTACTATAAAATTTTTTGTTACATAAGCTAAACTTGATTTCTTATCACTATATTCTTTAAACATTGTAAATGTATGATGTGGTTCTAAAACATCAGATATTAAATTAGCTGCACACAGCTCACATTCTTGAATTATTTTAATTTTTCTTGTTATATACCCAGCAACATATGCTAATGTGTTGCCACCATGACCTGTAACATCTGTATCAGGTAATGGTAGAGCTAGATGTTCTATTTCATTTACCTCTAAAAGATCTAAATCAATAAAATCATTGTTGGTGATTGAACTATCCAAAAAGTCTTGCAAATTATCCAGAATAGAGCCTTCATCTGTTTCACAATTTTTATTTGAATTAGGAGTAATTAAGTTATTAAGAACAGATGTTTTAAATTATGATATAAACTGGTAGCAATTTGGATTTATATTTTCGGCTCCTAGATGACGGATAGAAGCAAATGAGTTTTCTAAAGGATCTTGATTTAAAGAACGGGTTCTTAAAAACTTAAATCCCAGATCTCTACAAATATTCCACAACTCTTTTGTTGCTACAATAGTAGTTAACCACCCTGACTTAAAAGGCATTACCTTCTTTTTCACTTTCTCATCAATAAACATCCAGCTATTCATTTTTGGAAGAAGACGATTCCACAAAGCGAAATGAGGAGATTTATTAGACGTACACCTATGATAAGGCTTTCCACATTCAGGATTTATTGTTCTGCCATTAAAACTATCAAAAAGTTGATCTATATCATGCACAAATTCAGCAGTATCGATAGCTTGAGAAGGTATATTATTATTTGGGTTACTAACCATCTCTTCTAAAGTAGAAGCAACCGTATGACTAAGGGTCCGTGCGGCCACACACACTTTCATCTTTAACCGACTGTGATTATTAAGATGTAAATAAACCTCCCTTATCCGCCTTAATGCTTGAAACCGTTTTCTTTTGTCTATATTAAAACATTGTCTTATATGATCAATTTTTGCCATTTTTGTCTGATCAAACTGAATATGGTACTTTAAAAGAGCATTACGAGTTGACTTTAATAATGTGGTGGGTCAAAAATTGTCAATATTTTATGATTATTGATGAAAAAGTGAGGCCCTGGTTCATCATTTTCCCTACAAAGTAATTTAATAGCGGCACGGTTTGTAGCACCTTGGTCACATATAGTACAGAGTATTTTTAAACCAGTTTCAACTTCTACCTTAGTAATTACCTGTGAAATTAAATACTTCAAATCATATGACTTTACAGTATGTTGTGTAAAAAAAAATGCTATTGGTTGTTTCCAACTTTTGTGCAGACTATTAAGCATAAAAATTAATGCATGATTAGCATACTCATTTTTACGATCCAAGAGACCAAGATCTACATAACCGATTACTTTATCATTAAACTTATCAAAAACTAACTGCTGAGCCAGTGATATTTTATCAAAAACTAAGGAACAATACCTATCTAATGGTCTCATGGTTTTTACTCTTTTAGAAAGTTTCTTTAATAACTGGATATCTATTCCAGCTGCAAAAGGAACATTCTTTAAGAGTTTCCGAAGGGTACTTTTAGCTGGTAATGGTATACCACGTTTCAAAAATCTGTAACATCTAGGACCCCTTTTGTACAAAGCCAAAGCATATACCTTATCACGTATTGTCCAAGTAGGCCTTTTAACTTTACAATTTGAAAAAGCACTTTTAAAAAATGATGCAATTGAAGGGTCCATATTATCTTCTAATTCCCTAAACCTTTCACCTTTAGAAAACTCATATGCAAATTTTAATTTCTGTTTAGTAACTTTTATAGAGTTTTTTAATTTACAAATAGAATTTCTATGAGTTCGATTTAAAAAATATAACTTTTTCTTTTTAGGAGAAAGATCTTTTACTCTATTTTCATTAATTTCTTTTAAAATATGCAATCGCTTACGTTTAGATGGTGGTGTATCATACTTATTATCATACTGACTGGAAATTGACTGTTTATTATTGACTGGGTTATTAATGGAGGATAATTTTGGAGAAACTATTTGAACATTACTATGAATGTGTACATTTGAAACAGAAATTTCTTCAGAAGAATGTGCAGGTATAGGCAAAATTTGATTATGAACATTGGCATTGAAAGGCACTGCATTATTCAACAGTTTTGTTTTTAAACTGCTTGTAAATTGTGTTTCCTCAAAATGATCTTCACATCAATAACGCCTAGTTTCAGTAAATTCAATACCAATAATTTCAAACCAGTTATGACGTCTTTTTAAATCTGTTTCTGGAAATCTAAAAAACTTTTTATTTTTATAATCTGGGTCTGTGACAGGATAAAAATATTTGTTATTACAAAAGGACGCTAAACACCCATGAACATATTTACCGGGTTTGGACATATTTGAGATTGCAAAATGATAAACTAATAATATTACCTACATACAATACGTCCAATACGGACGATTACAAATACCATAAATTATAACTAAACACAGAAGAACCTTTAGCAAAGAAAGAATTTTGTATATACAAATAAACATACATTATGATTATGTATAACCTAAAACTCTATGCTAAAAAGTCAATGTCAACAATGTAAATTTTCATAGTACAATCAAAATACTTTATTGTACCATGGTAAATTTTAGTTTCATAAACAGCAGCGCCCCGATGTGCTACTTACCTGCGCAGAAACAAATGTGAACAATTTTCCCTATCTATTGATCACTCTCTTATTGTTATTTCTCTATGTGTAGGCCCTTGTCAAATTTTGTGTATAATGAGCATGGCTATAGGTAACACACCATCCACGTAGATTCACCGTGGAACCGTATGGACGTTCAGTAAAAAGTTGTTTATTGGTAGTCTCACAGCGATACCACTGGGATAAAAAGGGTTAATAATTCTTACCTTAAAATTACAGTAACTCATATTTTTCTCAATTTTGCGAAAAAATTAATTACTGATGAAGTAGTAAAATTTACGAGTAAGAATATTTGTAGAATGAATTAGCAATAAATCAACCGTATCGTTTCAAGGACAAAATATGATTGATTAAGAGATTCAGTGGGTGGAAATGTCAGTTGGTAGTTCAGATTTCTTTCATAGGTGGCGCTAGAAGTTATCGTCCCGAATAAAGTGCATTTCCGCTTGACATGTCGTTCTAGCCTGTTATTAGATTAAGATTTTGTCAGATTGGTCAGAATTGTGCATCTATATTTAACTTTTAAACTATATTACAGATTCTTAGTACCGGTGGACCGCTACGAATAAAATACACACTTCCTCCTCTGGTGTTCCAAGCCTATCAGCTCGCTTATAAATATAAGGACCTAAATGACGATAAATGGGATAAGAAGTGTACGAAGATCTTTCAGTTCTGCCATCAAACCATAACGGCTCTAGTAAAGGCTGAATTAGCCGAATTGCCTTTGCGTCTATTTTTGCAAGGGGCCTTAGCCATTGACCAGATCGGTTTTGAAAATCACGAAACCGTTGCGTATGAATTTATGTCGCAAGCGTTTTCGCTTTACGAAGATGAAATCTCAGATTCCAAGGCACAGTTAGCTGCCATTACTCTTATTGTAGGAACGCTGGAGCAAATTAGATGTTTTTCCGAAGAAAACTCAGATCCTCTAAGGTAAACTATAATCCATAACTACAGTACATTTGTTTTTTTTTGTGTTTTGGCTTGGACAATTGTCATTCAGCCAGTCTCAATCAAGATAAGTTTATTAATGTAGTGTGTGTGTGTGTGTGTTTGTGTGTGTAGAGTAATTGTCTTGATACTTAGCAAAGTCGACGTCATAGTCTTTGCTAAGAGACTCTAATTGTATCCGAACGTCTGCGGTCCCTCCGGTGTGTACCGATCACACAAGGATAAAAATTATTTTCATTTATTAATTTTTTTTTAATAAACGAAAATTTCCACCCAGTTGGGATTCGAACTCACGACCTTTAGATTTAAAGGCAGGCGCTCTTACCACTGAGCCACAGAGGGGGTTAAAAAGGAAGGCAACAACATGCGGTGTTCCCAAGCGGTCACCCATCCAAGTACTAACCGCACCCAACACTGCTTGACTTCGGTGATCGGACGAGAACCGGTATATTCAGTGTGGTATGGCCGTTGCCTACAGTACATTTAACCAACTTACAATATAAATAATTAATTAATAGAATTGATTAATAGAATTTGCAGAAAACCTTTCTTTGTAGTAAAAAGCACTGTAAACTGCACTTCTCCATAATCTTTTTAATTACTTACATACTTTATTTCGAATATTTTTCCCTGTATTATCAGTTAGAGTTAATTTGTATAACATCACCTCAATGATTTTATTAAATGAATAATTTGCAATGCTTAGTTTGGATTATTGATTGAATATAAATACAACTGTATTCAATTTCATACTTAAACTAATTCTTTTAATTGTATATTTTAGATCACAGTGCGCATTAGCTGCCAGTAAGTTGCTAAAAAAACCTGACCAATGTCGAGGAGTAGCGACTTGTTCTCATCTTTTCTGGAGCGGCAAGAGCCTTGCAAATAATGGCGAAGAAACACACGATGGCAAGAGAGTGGTGGAATGTCTAAAGAAAGGAATTCGAACAGCCAAGCAATGTATGGACGTTTGCGTTCAAGTACAGTTATTTGTAGAATTGCTAAATCACTATATCTACTTCTTTGAGAAAGGCAACGATCAGGTTAGTGTTTGTTTTAAGTGTTTGTAAAACCTCATTTTTGTAAGAAAAGTTGCATGAAAGAAACAAGTAGTGGCACTCATAAGTGGAGAATTTTATAAGAGTGTATTCCATAATGACGATAGTAGAGGAATGGGTGAAAGTAATAAAATGTCAACCGCGTGCAATCTTGTCGAAGGGGTACTGTAATTTGAGTTCAACTCGTTTAAATTTTAGTACGATGGAGTGATTTTATTTTTTTTTTGTTAAAAAAACAAAACAAAAAATCTTCATTAACACTTTGGCTACTGGCTATAAATTTGAAGTTTTTTGTCAGAAACTGAAACTATATTTTGGTAAATTTCACAATATTTAATACTAAAAACATGTAAATATCAACATTTAGGTATTTTTTTGAAAAAAAAAATCATGTGTAAGGGCCGTGTCAAAAAATGGTACACACAGTTTGTGGCAGAAATAAATGCGTAATTATCTTCTTAGAAACTATGTGTACCATTTTTGGACACAATGTTCATTTTTTTGCTTGACAGTAATGAGTGTCAAAAAAGCAGTTGGTACACAAAAACTTATCACTGCATGCTAGACAAGATGTTTTAACACGTTTTGTTTCTTTTATAGCAAAGTTACGTCCATTTCTAGCACTATTATTTTTATAACATCTTGTACAACGACCTCTCTGTTCCACTTCGGAAAGTTTGTGATTTCTTTCTTGGTTAACACGACGATCATCCAAAATTTTCATCTGAATATTTTGACTACGAAAAATTTCTGAGGCTATTTCTTCTCTAAATTTAGTGATACTTATCTTTTTGTTTGTTATAGCCTCGTATGCAGTATGTGCATTTATAATAGATGTGTTAACCAAAAGTTCAATTGAAACTTTCCTATACCACTTAATACCCCTACGCACTGCTGATGAATATGATGCTTTTTGATCAGAGACGTCTATAAATAATTTCACATTATTATACTGCACGATTGTGGAAGGCTTTCTCACGACACCCCTTTTTGTTGGCACGTCCACTATTTCAGGCACAGACTCCGTAGTGAGAAACATGACATCTCTTTTGTCTTTCCATTTTCCAATTATGATTTTACTGTTACTCTGTCTCATGACTAATTCACCCCTTTTTAATTTAGCCTCACTTACTACTTTTGGATTATGCTTCCTGTGTTTTCTCAGTGTGCCTATTAAATGTGTATCTTTGTTCAGAAGTTCGTGTGCTAAATTCACGCTAGTGTAATAATTATCTGTGCACAAAACGCGACCTGAATGTAAAAGTGGTTCCATAAGCTGTAGCACCACTTTTGTACCAATTGGCTTTTCATTAGGTGTTTGCTCTTTTCCTGTATAAATTTTAAAATTGTATGTGTAACCTTTCACTCCACATAGTTTAGATAATTTCACACCGTATTTGTGATGCTTCCCCGGTATATATTGGCGAAAGCTCAGTCGTCCTCGAAAAGGAATCATCGTCTCATCTATACACACATTCTTGTCAGGAGTATATGCTGATTGGAACTTCTTGATTAACAAATTTTGCAAGGGAAGAAATTTTTTGAGCCTATCATCTGAGGCAATTTCGTTGTTTGAGAAGTGCAAATTGGACAAAAGAAGCTCAAACCTTATCCTGGACATGTGAACAAATTTTCCAATTTTATTTTTGTACAGCATATTGGTGCTAAAATAATCTTTCAAAGTGGGTTTACGATCCAAACCCATCCATATTAGAAGACCTAAGAAAACAAAAATTTCGGATTGATTTGTGTTTCTCCATTGTCCCAATAATGCTGTTTTTGTTAATGTTTCATTTGTAATTCCTGATACTATTTTCTGTTCAGCATATCTCTTGGTTTCCTCGGCAATAAGTGATAAGATATCGTTGTCAATAAATAATTTATAAAAATGAATTGGATGATCTCCTTCCCTTTGTGCAAAAAAACTTTGGGAGAATCCTGAATCTTCCGTGAAAGTAAATGTGTTCAAATTACCTACAAAATTATAAACTCAAAACTATAAAAGTGAATACTAATTTATATATTACCTGCACAATTATTCCAAATGACATTAGGATTAGGATTATTTAAAAAATTATCAGGTTCAGAATCGTTGTTGAGAGATTCTAGATCAGATTCGAATTCTAACTCTTGTCCATCACTGTTAATTTCTAAATTAGAGGAAGAAGAACACGAATCTTGATCATTTGGATCATCTATATCCATAGCATCATCATCATCATCATCTTCACTAATAAACTCATACTCCATTTCACTCATATTCTCGGCTATTTCACGTAGTTCAGCATCACTTAATTTTTTATTTGACATTTTAAGTACTAATTTTAGAACCGTAAACACACAAGACTAATATTTCACAAACAACAAGTTTCTGCAAGTCAGAAAATGGCCATAATATGCCATCTGCTGAAGGAGTCTTAAACTGCTCCGCCATAATTTTAAAAAATCGGTCATAGTACAGCCATCTGTTGATTAAGTCCCAAACTGCTTCGCCAGAATTTAGCAGTAAACTGTAGGAACCTAGATACGCATTTAAAACCATCAGAACTGTGTTCACCAAATGTACACACAGCTTGAAACATTACCATTTCATGTGACCAAATTTGGTACACGCAGTTTCTGGTAAACATCAACTGTGTACCAGAAACGGTACACACAGTAGCCAAAGTGTTAAAACAATAACATGCATGATATGCATGATATTTTTTTTTCTGTGTGGTCCATCATAGTCTAACAATGTTCAAAAAGCGATATATTTATCCTCATATATTTTAGGTGGATGCGGACATTCTGAATCAATTAATCAAGAAAATCAAAAGTGAACTTGCGAACTTAGAAAGCTCCGATGAAGCTGAGCAAATCACAAAGCATTTTAATAATACACTGGCTCATTTAAAACTACGAATGGATTCCCCTGGAACCGAAGGCGATGCTTATATAGGACTCCTCCTTAATCCAGATTTAGATGATGAGAAAACCGAATCAAAAAAGCTAGAAGCTAAATAATATAATCAATTTTAGGTCTCGAAGACGTATTCTTAGAAATTCATCAAACAACACAATTGTAAAATATTGTTAAATTAATTGGTATAAGTTATATTAGTAATTAATATTTTAATTGATTATTTATATGTATAAAATCATTTTGAATATGTATAATATGTTAACACAAGAATTTAGGTAATTAAATAGTGCATCATTCCATAATATTTTTGTTATTTTTTATTAACCCTACTCAGTAATAGTGAAACCCAGAATGAATATTACTCGATATTTATGGGAGAGAGAAAAATGGAGGAATATCGGCAAGACCAAGTCGCAATTGCACAAAAATACTCAGTGCTGAACTATTTCCATATTCCATCTTTATTAGTATTATTAGTATTATAAGAAATACTAATAATGTAAAACAATTTCAAATTTATAACATTTAAAGGGTTTTTACCCATATATTTTGGTGGCTACTAGCATGTACAACCGTAAGTATTAACCACATTTTGCTCTAACCTTTGTCAACATTTTCATTTAACGTTCTTTTTAATTAAAGTGGTTATATACTTTCAGGTTTGCACTGATGATGGATTGTTTAATCCGAAAACGTTTTGCAATGTGTTTGTGATAGCCCGTTTGAGGCATTTTATATACCTACCTTTTATAAAGGATTTTAACAAAATTTTTTTGTGATATATGGTATACAGCCAGCTACAGGAACTTAGTTTCCTCGTGGAATTTTATTCAAACTTTGTGCAACAGATGAATATACCTGGACTACGAGCATTTATAAAGGCAAAGCAGACACATTTGACACAAATTTAGGTTTGGGTCATCATGTGTGTCTAAAATTGTCATAGGACCTTCTAAATCAAGGTCGTACGTTGTTTGTTGATAACTTCTACACTAGTTACCCCTTAGCTTTATCCCTCTTAAATCAAAACACGCATAAATCGCTACTGTTAGGACCTCAAGAAAACATTTTCCAAAAGAAGTTATGATGAAAAAGCTGAAGAAAGGTGAATCTGTAAGTAGAGAAGACGAAAATGGAATAGTAATTCTCAAGTGGCGAGACACTCGTGACGTAAAATTACTGTCTACCAAACATGCTCCGGACTTGATCGATACCTCACAACATAAAGAGAACACAACTACATCGACACCATCAACTAGTAAACAACTTAAGAAAAAGAAGAGAAAGGAAACTAAAATAAAACCAAGTATGATAGTAGCTTATAATCGAGTAAAATCTGGCATAGATATATCTGACCAAATGTCTTCTTACGCGACAACTTTAAGAAAAGGGGTAAAGTGGTTCAGGAAGCTGGCCATGGAATATCTTCTCGGCATTAGTGTTGTCAATGCTTACCTGGTAATGAAAATGGTTTCAAAGAAAAAGAATATGCAAATACGAAAGTTCAGAGAACAACTGGTTCAGCAAATGTTAGACATAGAACCAAGAGAAGAACCTATAAAAAAACAGGACATGCATTGACCAAAGACAAAAAAATTCGTCGTATTTGCAAGCCTTGTTACAGACATTTGATTGGTTCTCTAGGAAAATCGGAAGCCAGAAAGAAAGTGAAAAAAGTAATGACTTATTGCTGTGGTTGTCCTGACCAACCTTATATGTGCATGGACTGCTTTAAAAATATTCATACGTAATAAATTTATATTTTCCTGTTTTTGTTTCACTTTTGTATGGCAAAAATAAAAACTATTTTTTTCTTTTAATTTTTCATTATTTTTTCTTGGTGCGCCACCAATGTTTTAATGAAGTATTACTGGACGCCACAACAACAAAATTGTATATAAAAATCCATATACCCTCACGTAATTTTGAGTTATAGAAGGGCATTCGAAAGCTATGCTGTCAGTCATATATGACCGACATGGCCTCACCGTAAAAAATTCCGTCGGTCATATCTGTCTGAAATGACCTCCAAGAATTGAACAACTTTTTTGGTGTGGCGCCCCATGAAACTTTTTGAGAAAGGCGTGTGGCAGGCAATGTGTTAATAATATAAATTCTTAACACAGTAAGATAAACACAATTTTTATTTATGATTTTATTTAAAACATGTCTAACAGTCTTTCACACATTTTCCGGATACGTTGTCCCTAAGATATCCTTGAGCACAAACACATTTCATATTACAAATGTCTGCGCAAATTCGACTGGGGCATTGACCTGGTACTTTATTCTGACAGCTTATTTCCTGCTCAGGACAACATGCCTCGCATCCTTCATTTTCATGTTCTCCTTCACATTTAAAAGGGGTAAATGCAGCTAAAATAAAAAAAAATTATTTACATCTATATTAACTAAATATTTTTCACAGACGTAGAAGACAATAGTACTAGGTGCTATATACATGATCTAGCTTGTTTAGCGTTAAAACTGCTAATAATATCAAACATTACTTTAACGTAACTTCAAAAAATCACCAAGTATAGAAATTACGTTTTAGAAAGTTATCAGCAACGAAAATATTAAGAAAATAATATCTACTATAGTCCCCCTAGAAATAGGCTTGCGATCCAGGGATGAAATACTGCTGTAAGCAACTTACACAGTGCATAGAACTCCAAGAACCTGATTATCATAATAAGATCATCAAGTTATAGGTATATATCGCCTGTAGAGCATAAGTAGGTACATATATACAGACATACATGCATAAATACTTAAATAGATAAATGCATATAAAGAGCGTTTTTACAAAACTTACGAAGTCCAAAAAATCATAAATTATGTAACTGCATTGTATAACCAAGATTCGCTTTTAACGATAACGATCCTTCATGTTTTACAAAATATGAAGAAGTCCTAGTCAAAATTGATGCATTCTTTTTAGTTTGTTTCCAAAATGAACTTAACTCCAAAACAAATTTACTTCAAAATTTATTAAGTCCTATGGGTATTCTCTATGATTGCAACTGTGCTTGAATTAACAGAAAATTATAACCTTTCTTTTCAGAGCAACTGTTGTGGCATTTGGGAGTAGTTATTGTGCCTTAAATATTTAATCATTAGTGACAATTGTACAGAGACTGTATGCGATAGTACTTTTCAGTCACTTATTTTTTTAAAATTTTCTAATTAAAATGATTAAATTAAATTAAAACAGCTGAGACAAACATTGATAGTAGGAACAACATCTCAACCGAACTTAAATTGCATAAGCTACGTGCGAAAAAGTTTTATAAACTAGAAAAAAAAAAGAGACCAGCGAAATAGTTTAAGTTTTATTTTGACATGCAACAAAACCAACCTTTATCAAAACTACGCATTTATGATGTTTATTATATACGATAATTGCGGTTATATATTCTTACTTTCGTGATAGTAGAAACAAATCATTACAAGGAAAATTGTTTTGCTTACACTTAGACTGAAAACGAAAGTGGCAAAAAGTCAAATGAAGTACGTTCCGCACTAATGCATGTTCTTCATTCATTAGAAGCAAAGTACCTTTCTTTAAACCCATATGAAAGACCCCGAATCTTAAAATTGTATTCTGATAATTGTTATGGCCAAAACAAAAATACTGCAGTTATATTTACACCATTACGTTATGTACAAAATAGCATATTTAAGGAAATTCAGCACATATTTCCAATAAGTGCTGAATAAAATAATAAGAAATAATAAGAAAACAAAAACAAGTGCTGCAACATAGTCAACAATGGTTTACTAAATACTACAAAGCTTTGTCCTGCAAAATGTTAAAAGAAGTTTTGCGGTCAAGTTAACAGAGCAACGAATCTTTACTTATTACAAAGGAAAGAAAACAGTTTCCACGTTTTCACCAGTTATTAACAAAATTAGTGCTTCCAAAAAGGCAAATGTCAGACATCTTTTAAAATTTGCCAAGTTACCCGACGAGGAAAAGATTTTCTACGAACATGCACTCCAGAAGGCTGGCAATCTTAATGACGACGTTGCAGAAGAAGTCCTGGACAATGACGAAGCATTTCTCGAGTTTAAATGTATTCGAGTTTTTGTTCTTTTAGCTTATTAAATATTTTAATAATGTTTTATAATATTATTCCAATAAAAAATCATTGCTTTGACGATGAATGCAAAAATGCAACAAAAAAAAAGAAGCCTACAGAAAGATGGTTACCTGACGAACTAGAACAACTGTAGAAAATTACCAGACAAAGAGAAAAAAAGCGAGGATACACAAATGAAAAAAAAACCAGCTATATACGGAACTTAAATATACCTATAGAAAACCTTAACAGAGCGAAAGAATTCAAAGCATTTCATAAGAAAGGTAACATCAACAGAAAAGAATTCAAGGGAACCACAAGACAATGTAAGGGGAGCAGACAAGAGGGAAGAGGAACCACCAAAGATTCTTAAAGTTGAAGATGAAGTTAAAAAACTAGCTAGAAACAAATCACCCGGAATAGATAATCTCCCAGCTGAAGTATGTGAAGAAGGTGGCCATGAGACCATTATGGTATTACAGCAGCTTATAAAAGAAATATGGACACAGAAATCCTTCTCCATTGACTGAAATATTGAAGTAATTTGCATCATACACAAAAAAGGAGATATATTTGAATGCTCTAACCATAGAGGAACTACGCTTCTAAATACAGCGTATAAAACAATTTCCTACTATGTCACAATATGCAGAACAGATAGTAGTACAAATCAAAATATGTAAAATTTCATGTAAAAAAAAAATCAAACTTGCTTTTTTTTAAGTTTGCTTCAAAACTCGTTTCTCCAAACATTAAAAGCTAATTATTTAGTTATTGACAAAAGTTGGATTTCATCCAGTATTTAATACCAATTTTTGTGATCAAATTGTATAACACGAAACTCTAATCCATATGAACTGTAACGGATTATTTTTAACAAGTTTGAAGAAAGCAATTTTAATGCTACACCTCTCAACTATGATAATGTTGATAATGGTTTAAAAAAGACACCAGCAAATAAATATTCTAAATTGGAAAGTTACCTCACTTATTTACCTTAAATTTAATGATTAAATTATTAATGCGGTAAGAGAAAACACAATTTTTATTTGATTTTATTTAAAACATGTCTAACAGTCTTTCACACATTTTCCGGATACGTTGTCCCTGAGATATCCTTGAGCACAAACACATTTCATATAACAAACGTGTAAACATTTTGGACTGGGGCATGCACGTGGCACTTTATTCTGACAGCTTACTTCCTGCTCAG